GTTTTCTGATTCTGTGGTGTTTTTTACACCACTGGCCTTGCTCTCCCCGTTTGTCTGGACTGCAGCAGTCGTGGCCTCCACAACTTTTCACATGTCCTTGGTTTTGGACAGTTCTGAATGGCCTGTAAGAGGCTCAGTTTTGTGTAAGGCCCATTTGGTGACCACTGCTGTGACTGAGTTGCTGGAGTCAGGTTTGGACTGCTGTGATCTCTGACTGACTCATTTTACCCTAAATAACAGGCAACACAAAAAAAAAAAAAATGAGCTTTTGTGTTCCTCTCCCGTTCCTGCTCTCTGTGAGTGTGAGTTTTTGTGTCATCCCTTGTGTGAGGACTTTTACATTTGGCAGTGCATTTGGTACATCAGCACGTGCTGCTTTATCAGGCGAAGAATAATGGGTGACTCTACACTTGCAAATTCACTTTTGCCTAAAAATTTGTCTGCTGTGTTTGTTTCTGTTTTTGACCCTCATAATGTGATTGGGCTGGGATAATTACAGTTAATGAGCCAGCTAATTTTGTACAAGAAACAAAGCTCTTCCTTTTGTGAGGTTTATTGCCACCAGTGGGATTCTTCTCGCACCAATTTATCCAAAGTAATTTTTGGGAAGTTCGAACTGTTGTGCTCACAGTTCCTAATAATGCTGCAGTTGAGCAGTAAATGTCATAAATGCAGAAGCTGCCCAGGTGGTTGGTTTATTTCTGCTGGGAGGTGAATACTTTGCCACAACCAGACTGTTTGGGAAGCAGGACTTGAGCAGGTTTAGTAAATCAAATGAGCCATGGAAAGCAAGTTGGAAATATCAGTGACCTTTCTTTCTAGGTAAAAGACATGATCTTTCCAAGACAGTAAGCAGAAATAATATATATTTATTTCTGTCAAATTTATTCCTGTGACAAACTCAGATTGAGACTTCATCAGTTGACTGAGCTGTAGGACTTGATAACTTATGCACCAGCGATGTGATGGGAAGTGAGCTTTGTGTTAATTGCAGACAGAACTGGACTTCAAAAAAATACTGCATGCAAATTAAATTAAGGGATTTGTCTAAACTGTGCCAATTCATGAGCTGGATTTGAAAAGAAAATATAGTTTTGATCTTTACTTCTTTTTTTATTTGTAAGTTTAAAGAAACATATTTTATTGCAGTTTGAAATAATGTTTTCTTTAATTTGGATGTCTTACAGAATTAAAAAAAAAATGTGTTGAGTGTAAATCACAAGGGAAAGGTTGTCCAGAGAGGCTGTGGATTCCCCATCCCAAGGCCAGGTTGGATGGGGCTTGGAGCAACCTGGGCCAGTGGAAGGTGTCCCTGCCCATGGCAGGGGGGTGGAATGAGATGATCTTTAAGGTCCTTTCCAACCCAAACCATTCCATGATTCCATGCTTCTATGAAAAGAAAGGGTATGATACAGACAAGTATCTGGAATTTCCAAATCAAAGCTATTTGAGCTCTTTTGCTCTGTACTTTGAGAGATTATTTTGGGGAAAAAATAAATCTGACACACCCATAAATTTCTTTGCCAAAAAAACATCTTATTGAAATACCTTTTTTGAAGCAGAAATAGAAGGAAATGGAAAAAATAAATGTGAATTATGTCTGTTGCCATGATACAATATCCTCACGTGCAAATTTTGTGGGTTTAAAACTAGAGCCTGGGATTAGCAAAAACCATATGAGAACTATAAACACCTTGGGTAGGTATCTGCAAGTGTGCACTGGTCAGTGAGGGCAGGGTCCATACCCACAGCCCCAGGATAGTCTTCCCACACCCTCAGGATACTCTTCTCCTGTGGTAAATATCAGGAATTTGAGGCCACTTGTCTCTGTAAGAAAGAACAGTAAATTGTTTTACATCTGCTAAACCCCTGATATTTCTGCACTGTGCCGTTCAGCACAGAGCAGATGATGTGAGGTGCCTTATTCCCTGACAGGACGTGCTATTTTCCAACAGATCCACACAGGGCACTGTTTGAATTTTAAATCCCTGGGAGGCACGTCCTGGCAGTCATGGCAAACCCCTGGCAGGGCAGTACCATTTTTCAGTGCATACATATGTAGCAGATACTTGACATTTCCAAGCTGCGTCTCAAGGACAGTATAAATCATTCAGAAGAGAAAAAGTGTTGTAAATTTATGCTGGTGTTCGGCCACTGCCTTGGAGCCACTTTTTATTCATACAGGCCGGGGGCTTTGGGCTTTTGGCTGAAGAAAACCAACAGGAAGAGTTGGTTATGACATTTTAGGGTGGTTTAAACAGCCTTTCCAAGCCTGCTTGGGAAATGATGGTGAGAGGTTGTTCAGTGCCTCAGTCCTTCCCTCTGAGGGTCATGATGTGTGGCTGGGTGGCAGAATTAGAGCTCTGCTGAAATCAAAAAGGAACTTGGGTTCTCTCTGCCTTCTACTGGAAGCAATAACCACAGCTCCTGATGACTCACAGAGCTGAAAATTGTATTTCATTGCACCAGTCTAAGCCAGTGTGACCCATTTAGCCTGAGTTTAACATAGGAGCACAATTATTTTATAAATCCTCTCGTGTGCAGAATTTCTAACTCGATGTTTACATTGAAGTTTGCAAATGACTAACCCTAAGCCATTTTTAACTTCACTCTGGAAGAATTGTCATAGTTTTCCCTTCCCTTAACATCTAAAGTTCTGCCTGTGCTCAGCCTGAGGGTCTTTTGTTCGTGGAATGAAACTCACTTAAAACTTTCCAAGTGCACGGCAATTCGAATGGGCAAAATTCATTTTCACACTGAAAGCAATTCCCCTCCAAACTTGGCTTTTAATTAGGAAAGAAACCTTTATGCATTACCAAAATACTCCTTTTTTCCTCTTCTTTTTATTGTGCTTCTCAGTGTGTTATATTGATTATTTTTAGCCAGAAGTTGTAGCGATAAAAGAGGGTTAAGCTTATTAAAGTGCTAAAAATAAAAGCATACTATGAAACCTGAAGGGGCCCATTTTGGTTTCTGCCAAGTGGGAGCATTTTAAAATTCTCATTCACGAGCTCACTTGCCTGTCTTTCAAGTGGTTTTACTGAAGCTCTGCCTTGTGGAACCAATCCACTGTTGCTGCTGTAAAGACTCAGGTGATGGGGGTGATTCCCTGGTAAATCAGGGCAGAACCCCCACTCCAGCCAAGGTCACTCCAGTAATTTCATATATAAGACTCCAACTGTTGGTCATTAGAAGGGTTGATCTCAGGAGACAGGTAAATAGCTCTTGGAGGTTGAAAGATACTTCTTGGAGTCATCATTATTTCTGTCTCTGTGTGACATAAAATCATATCAAATTGCATCTAAAAGCTGGATGGCTCTGTCGCCTTCACTGCTCCTATTGCAAGACTGTGGTTTAGATGAAAAATTATAAATATTTTCCTAATTCCTTGGTGTATTTGTTTGCAACCACCATCTGCTTTGGTGCAGCCCTGTCCTTCAGTTTACTCAAATGGTGATCACAACTCCTTAAGGTTTCTGCTTTCAAACTGTACCATAATTTTGCCATCACAGTCTGAGGACAGAAAATTGTCATGGGATCCCAGCCCCAGGACTGGATTATCATATTTATTTGGGAACAAAGTCACTGTCACTTCATGCCAAAGCCAAAGAGAAAGGAAAAGGCAGATCCTTCCAACAGGTTTTTCAGTCTACCAAGGATCCTCCCACCCTCGACTCTGCATCCCCAAGCGAAGTTCCTTGGAAGGACCCTCAAAGTGGCCAAGGTGAAGCTGTGAAGCATCACCAGTTCAGCAAAAATTCACTGAAATAGCTGCCAGTGCCACATTCATCATTGACTTATTAACATCATTGATTTACTGCTTATTTCTTTGTGATTTGGCCCAAATTCTCTTTCCCTCCCTTGCCTGACTGTGTTAATCAGCAGATATATCTCATTAAATTGCTTTACATATTTATATCTCATTTTTATGGCGTTTTAGAGCTGTTTTGGTGGGGGTTTTGTTTGTTTTAATTTTTCCCCTGTGCCTCAGGATTACAACTTGCTTCAAAAATAGAATTTAAATGGGAGGTTTGCTTATTCCAAGGCTGGTATTCCCCCACTGGGAGAACAAGTGAGCAGAGGCAGGGCCACCAGGGTCCAACTTCTCCCTGTAACATCCCATCAGCTCATAAACGACATGGAACACACGTCCATCCTACTTGGAAAAGCCTGTGTTGGGAAAACATCAGTGATATTTGCAAAACACAGTGCACAAGATCTGATTATCCCATTCCAGGCAGCACTAAGGGGGCGTTCACAGTGTTTAATTTTATCTAAGGAAGGCAAATCTCCTCAGGCCTCCCTGCAGGCAGCAGAAAGCGTTGGGTTCCTCTGGAGGGCCTTTTAAGGAAGCTAAATTAAGCTGCTTCTCTGATTTCCTCCTGCCCCAAGAGAAGCACAGACAGATTACTCTTGTTTTAGAAGGATATATATCACAGATTTCTCCTCTGTAGCTCCTCTATGCCTGAATGATTAATTTTCTGAGGCCAATCAGGTTTTAAGAGGCATTGAGCAGCAAAGGGTGTCTGCACTTAGATCCTGGGAAATATTATACACTTGCAAGTTCTGTACTTTGATTAGGCAGTCGTTAAGATGTTCAGCACATTTCCCACACCCCTTCCAAATTTCCCAAATCCATCCCTTCCAAACCCCATCAAAAATTATGTTAAAACATGTAGGTGGTGTCCTACATAAAGTTCTATCTTGTAGCCCAAAGCCATGGTCAGACTTTGTGCTTTTGACATTAACAAGTGTTCCATCGGGATATATCCTTAATTTTGGATGAAGAGGGACTTTTTACAAGAGCGTGCAGTGATGGGACAGGTTGAAATCTGTCTGCCACGTTTCAAAAAGCACCTAGTTTTTCATGCACACCTCTTTGTGGTAGTAGACCTTGGGGCAATTCCAAGCACAAAGACAGGTTGGGCAGAGAATGGATCAAGACTAGCCCTGGGGAGAAAGACTTGGAGGTGTTTGTGGACAAAAAGCTCCACATGACCCAGCAATGTGCACTCACAGCCCAGAAAACCAGTTGTGTCCTGGGCTGCATCAAAGGCAAAGTGGGCAGCAGGTTGAAGGAGGGGATTCTCCCCCTCTGCTCTGCTCTTGTGAGACCCCACCTGCAGTGCTGCTACACAGGAAAGACGTGGAGCTGTTGGAATGAGGCCAGAGGAGGCCACCAAGATGATCCCAGGGCTGGAGCACCTCTCCTGTGAAGACAGGCTGAGAGAGTTGGGGATGTTCAGCCTGGAGAAGAGAAGCTTCCAGTGCGTAAAGGGGACTTACAAGAAGGCTGGAGAGGGACTATTGCAAGTTCAGGTCGTGATAAGACAAAGGGGAATGGCCTTAAGTCAAAGGAGGGTAATTGTACATTAAATATAAGGAAGAAATTCTTCCCTGTGAGGGTGGAGAGACCCTGACACAGGTTGCCCAGAGAAGCTGTGGCTGCCCCATCCCTTGGAAGTGTCCAAGGCCAGGTGGGACGTGGCTTGGAGCAACCTGGTCTCGTGGAAGGTGTCCCTGCCTATGGCAGGGGGTTGGAACTGGATGATCTTTAAGGTCCCTTCCAGCCCAAACCATTCCATGATTCCATGACCCTGTGCCATTTGTGATTTTGTTCATCATTTTAATAATTCAGAACATCTTTTTTTGGAGTTTTTTGTTTGTTTGTTTGAGTGTTTGTTTTAGTTTTTTGTTTGGTTTTGCTGGCATTGGAATGAAAAATCAGACACTTTCCTAGAAATGCCTTCAGCTCAGTGCAGTACTGGAAGCTCTTCAAGGCTGTCACACCGATATGTGCACGTATGTGGATGTAGCTCTTCCAAGGCTCTGTAGAAGAGGATTTTAATATCTTCATAGACAGAGGATGAATTCCTAAGAGGCCTTTTGATCCCCTCCTGCTGAATCCTGACAGTAAGGAAAGCATTTGAGCAGAGGTCAGTGATGCCAAACAAAGACCATGGTGTTAAAGTCTGAATAAAAGTGTTTTTAGAAGCATTGGATATAGCAAATAAAATGATGTTAAATCGATCTATAAAAGGGTATGACCACATAGATTTTTTCTTCTGCACTACAGTGTACATAATTTAAAATAAAAGGATTGGGAAACCATCTCTTCCAGGCGTTATAAAAGACTTTTACCAGGTTGCCAAGTGTTAGGATTAAAGTTGTTTATTCCATGTTTCTGTTGATTTGATGGGGTTTTGCTGCTTTTCTTCTTTTTTTTTTCCTTTTCGTTGTTTGTTTGATTTTTTTTTATTTTATTTTGAGTTATCACAAATGCATAATTACATTAACAGACTTTAACACTGAGTTAAAATTGTCAAAGTCTGAATGGAACCATTTTCCACAGTTTATCTGCAAACTCTCATTTCTTTGTCCCTCACAAAAGTGGCCACATTAATTCATGTTCTTTCCTTTGAAACCAAAGAATAAATTACTTGAATCTTTTGTAGCATGTCTTAATTCAACTCCTAATACCATTAATTGAATAATTTTTTGTTAGTTTTATTAAGGATTAGAGTTTATTTTCAAATTTCTACCTGTGGTTGAGTTCCTCCTGATCATGTTCATGTACTCCATGGTGTATTTTCTGCTCAAAACCACTCAGGATCAGACCAAGGGCACATACTCTTCCATTGTGGCCAGAAATTATTGGCTGAACTTATCTTAGGGGACAAGCTTGTCAAGATTTTTGCTGGAAACACAAGCCCTTTTTTGCAGGTTTTATACCACAGGTGTCTTGCTTTCTAAGCACAGTTGGGAGTCAAAGTTACTATTTCAGTTTGGTGGCAGTGGGGAGCTGTGGGCTGCAATGTTCAAGGATAATTGTTCTTTTCCGGTCTCATTTTGATTCCTCGTGGCTCCTCCAGCTTCCCCCATGCCAGGCTTAGCAACACAGGGTGAAATTTTTGTGCTTTACTTTTAGGCAATGAGTCTCAATCTGAGCCATCCATACTGACCTCCCTTGCAGTTTGGGAATGTGGTCCGGGAGTTTGGGTTGTGGTTTGTTTAATCTGATCAAGTGTTGTAGTTTGGGATGAATTGCGCACCAGAGACTTGCTCTCTGTGGACTGGGACATTGTCCAAGGTGACTTGATCAAGTCCAAATACCTGGGGATGGTCAACACCCCCTGTGTGCCCAGAGACATCTTACCCTGAGCTATAATATCAATATAATTCCAGGTACAATCTGCCATGGGCCTTTTATAATTTAATATAGTAGATTTATCAAGCTTGAGCTGCTTTCCTTTGAATGCCCTGTCGTTCTTCCCATGGATTTCAGTGGGAATGGGATGAGAGGTAACCTCCATCCTGCCAGGGGACAATGGAGAGCTGTCAGTCCTCCTGCCTGGCTGGCAGGTTGGGTGTTCACCAAAATGGGTGTTGTCGCCACTTCCCTGCAGTGCTGCAGTTCCCAAACAAGAGGCTGCTCCTCCCTTTATGCCCAGGAGTAAATTGCTGAATTGCTGTTGGTATAAAGTCTTTGTTTTAGGTTTGTACCCTGTGATTATCTTCTATTGTCCTTATTTCCAGATAGTATTGAAGCCAACATTGAGACGGCGTCTTCTAACGTAGACTCAGCCAATGAGCAGTTGGCAAAAGCCAGTCAGCACCAAGTAAGTGGGTCTAAAAAAGCCCTGTGGATTTCAGTAATGATATTTAAATTAATATTTTATATATATATGTAATATTATATTTTATATAGATATATATTTTTCAGTAATAATATTTAAAATAAAGAGAACACTTGGCAGCTGTGAACCACATGGCACATTGGCTGTGTTGCATTTGTGCTACCTGGAAAGATGATAAACCATATTCTAAGTAAAAGCTGAACTTTATATATATATATATAAATATATATGATTAAATTACAGTAGCACAGACAATTAGCTTTAGAGTAGTCATTAAGAAATCTGCATATTAAACACACATTTCCCAGTAGGAAAGTCAAAAATTAGCTGCTGTTGTTCTTGGAAAGATGTCATAAAAAGCACATCATTTCAGTGTAGATGTGCTTCTGTTTGGAGTGTTTCCCTATAATCAGGCAACAGTTCTTTACAAAAACAACTGAGCTGTCAAACAACGTGATGTGGTTGGAGAATAATGGCTCTGGGGATGGTGTTCAGCACTTTTTAAAGGCAATTCAAGGGTCTTTTTTGTGAATTGGGTTTTTTTTCTTCATTGGAGCAAGAATAAAACACATTCACAAACATTAATCTTTTTGAAAATGGCTTGACCAGAAAGAACTCTTGGATGGTTACAGTTAGTGCTTCCTAGGGATAAAAGGGGGTGGGGGAGTGAACAAAGAAAAAATTGTTATTGCCTGGATTGGACTGATGGAACAAAAACTCTTGAGTTTCCTTTTTTCCTCAACCATCAACTGGTGATTTTCATGTATCTGGAGTCTTGTTTTGGCAAAATATAGCTGAGGTCCATGAAAGTACATAATGCCTTCTTGTTGGCCCTTGGACATAATGATTTCTGAAGGTCTGGGGCAAACCTCTAGACCAAAGGAGTGAGAGCCAAAGGCATTTTACTCTGATGTAAAGTGATTTTAAAATTATCTACAGCTCATTTACTAGTGAAATGTATTTTGCAAATTGTGAGTGATAAGAGCAACTTTGTAGAACTTTGATATTGCAGAAAATAAGTGTGGTCTTCAGCTCCGTTTTGGTTTTAAATGTATATATATGTATTCAAGATAATGCGTGTCACCCTGAATGTAATCCTGCATTTGCTTTGAAAATAACTTGTTATGTACCACATGAAGTCTAAAATGAGACCAGAATGAATTTAATACTTGACCTGACTGTAGAGCTGATCGCAGAGCTGCAAATGACTTAATGATGACTTTGGCTAAGAAGGTCAAAGAGTAGTCAGGCAGAAAATGAAAGCAACACAGTCTGAAGGAGCTGCTTTCTTCAGCCAGCAGGAGATGCTGAAATAGCCTGCCCAGTTAGGAGGCCCTTTATTCCTCAGATATGTTGATCAAAGTGAAGATAGAGCCAGTTTTAGTGAGTCAACCTCAGCTAAGGACATAAATATGTACCGGCTGGTATGTGCAGGAAAACACTTCAGAGTCTCTCTTGCCCTTGAAAGAAGCCCATATAGACAAATATCACTTAGGAAAATTCAGCTGCTAAAGAAAACGTGCAATCCAGACCTCCTGCAGAGCACAGGTAAGTTCCCTGTACACTGCTGAGTGAGAATCAGGAGTCGAACATATGTAAACTCAGCTCTTTCATGAGGCCCCCTGAGATGTGAACAGAAAAGGAGGTGAAGCTTTTGTGACTTCAAGCCCTGGCCTGCTGCCTGGGGTTGGTCAAACTGCCTATGATGCCTCATCTTTTATGTGCCATGCTATCGGCTCATCTTACATCCAAAAGGACACTGTCTCCATAGGGCCCTGATCTCACAGCCCTCAAAGGCCTCTGTGGGAATTAATGTTGATGCCACCTACATCCCTGTGGATAATGCCGTGTGAGTACAGATCACCCTTCTGGGTGGTGTGTCTGGTTTTGGCTGCTTTAGAAATATCTGGGATGGGTTTGGGAGAACGATCAGCCAGATGGCCCTGTGGGTGAACTGCTTTTAAGGGACCTGCCATGGCTTTATACACTGGAAATTCCCCCTGCACTTGTCAAGGATCTAAAGCATGGGCTGTTTTTCAAAGCTTACTGAGTTTTTCTTCTTTTGTTAAACTACTACTTCACTAGTATATTTAGCTGTTACTCATGCTACAGTGTGATTACCCTGTAAATGCAGCCTGGCTGACATACATTTGTTATTTATTCCTATTTATATGTATATAAATGTGTGTGTGTGTAAGTAGTATTTTTACGAGTCTATCAACAAATGTGTACATAAATTGAGAAATCAGAAATGTCAACATTGCTGAAGCATTAAAGCTTAAGACCTGCTGTAGACCTTAATGAAGGGATCTCTGTCAGGAGTAAAGATTAAGTGGCTGGTTATTTAACATATTTTTTGCATATAATTCCTGCAGTCACTTCAACAATACAGCTTGGAGCACCACTCCCAACCTGCACATTATTGTAACAAAGCATCAGTTAACAGTTTTTCCTTAACTAGTACAAAATCAGGCATTTAGGTTCTCTGAAATGATAGAAATGTTTAAATAAATGTCAAGATCTTCTTGCTGAGTACCTTTCTTCTGTGTGCTAACAGTAGTGATTTATTACTTTATTATTTTTTGGTTTAAACTCCAAAAGGTTTAGTGGGAGCTGTCAGAGCTGTGGAATATTTTTTTTAATTATTATTAGCAGATTTTTTTTCCTTCATTTTAAATTATCATCACAGAATAGTTGTTTGTAATTAAACGTGTTTTTACTACAGTAACAGTTAAGCTGGGCCACTGCATTCATTATCTGTAGGAACACACAGAGTCAAAATGAAGATTAAAGAGTAAGTGTTGGATATTGATATAGGAGCAGAGGAACAAAGTCCTTATTCCATATGAAAACCCTTTTGGTCACAGAAACTTGACAGTTAGTGTTTGCTGTCCTACTTCCCCTGGAAAATTTGAGTTTGAGAAATGACTGAGAAGCAAACAAATCTGGCAGGGAGAAACCGGGAGAAATAATCTCCTGCACTAGACTTGCTTCAGTGCCTTTCTTTCCAGTGAGGGTCTCATATCCCCTGGGCCCTGAGCAGAAATTATGACCCTTTCTATTAAATCCCAGTGGCCCAGATTTGTCTCATGAAATTTCCCTGTCCATGCCCCAGAGAAAATGATTCATCCCACCCATCTTAAAACACTAATTTTGACATGGGTCAAATTGCTCTCTGGCAGATAGGGATTTATGGGAGCAAATATGAGTGTGTTTGGTGGAGAAATGTGTGTCCAAATGTCTGAACTCCCTTTACCAGGAGGAGGAATTGCTTTCAGAACATGACTTATCTCACGGGAGATGTCTGACATAGATATATCTCATGGCTGATTCTCTGGACATTCTGCTCTCTCTTTTGTCTAAAAAGTGCAAGAATATTAATTACACCACAAATATTTCAAGGGAAAATGAGTCCTGTGCCTGTCACCTACTGCTTTATTGGAAAAAAGGGAATATCTAGACACCCAACAGTCTCAGTAGCTGCCTTTGAGGTTAGTTTAGGTGGGCTGAACATCACTAAAGGAGATGGGCAGTTTCACTTTGCTCTGGTGTCTCAGAACTTCTGCAGATGGATTGAGAGGAAGAAAAAAAAAAAACAACTCAGACTCCACAGATAATTATTAAACCAGTTACTCTATTTTATGCAAAGTTTGGCCTAAATTCAGCTTGGCCACACTGACTGAAGGATTCTGTGCTGACTGTTGAAGCTAATTTGTTTTGGAAGAGCTGCTTGTGTTGCTTTGGTTGATGCTGGTTGCTTTCCTTCCCTACATCTGTGGAAGTCAAGCTGATTTGTATTCCCTGGCATGGCAAAGGCAAACAGCAGTTCAGTGACCTAATTGTGTGGTCCAAGAACAATTAGGGGGTTTCCCTGTAAAGAAGCAGTTCCTGGGTCTGGCCTTCATGGATGCACAGAGGGGCCCTTTGATGGCTGGAGCTTTAAGGAAAAAAGCCTTATAAATCTGTGACATTTTGCAGAGATCTTATCTCTTGGGGACCACCAAAAAAAGAATTGGCTTCAATTTTTGCACAAATAACTCATTGATGTTTTAAAAAACAAAAGAAAATTTGAGTTCTAAAAATCACCTTCTCATAGTCTTTGAAATTTTCTGACGTGGTAGCCTCTAAAAGCACTTGTTATAAATATTGTGATAATGAAATTTTTTTTTCTCCTTTTTGCTGTGGATATGCCCTAAGACCATGTCTTTCAATGCCATTAAATTGTTTTAAAGCCTAGTTTTAAAATTAACAGCCAGTTAGCACCACAACATTACGGAGTTGCAGCCTGACATGTGCAGGAGTCACCCAACATGCTGCAAAGCCATGTTGGACCAACGTGATTGGAATATCTTGATGCAAATACAGCTCCTTAATCTGGGCTCCTGACTTCAAGAAAGACATTGAGGTGCTGGAGCGTGTCCAGAGAAGGGCATTGGAGCTGGGGAAGGGTCTGGAGAGTAAATCATATGAGAAGAGGCTGAGGGAAAACCTCTTCACAGAAAGGGGTATCAAACATTGGAACAGGCTGCCCAGTGAGGTGGTGGAGTCACCAGACCTGGAGATGTTAAAGAAGTGACTGGACGTGGCACTTGGTGTTATGGTCTGGGTGACGAGGTGGTGATCAGGCAAAGTTTGGATTCGGTGATCTCAGAGGTCTTTTCCAAAATAAATATTTCTGTGATTCTGTAATCCTGTGATCTCCAAGGACAAGAAAAGGCTGGATGCTCACGTGGAGCATTCATAGCAGAGGTGAAATGACAGTCTAAGGTGCAGCTTATACAACCAACCTCGTGTTGCTGTTGCTTGTCTGTGTCTGTCACCACTGACAGCATGGTTGAGTTTGCTTCTTCTTTAGATAATTGGCACTTGGAAGTTTTATTTGGGGGATCATGAAGCTATTCTTTCCTCTGGCAGTTTCTGCCTGTGAAAGTGATGGGAGCTGATTTAAAGCTGCAAGAGGAACCTGGAGCTCTGTAAGGACTCCAAGCAAAAGCCATCACTGAAGTGACTGTTTAATTCTATGATTAAGCCTTAATCCCCCTCTTCAGCAGCAGAAGGAAACTTTGCTGCCATTCAGAGTCCTCCTGATTCTGTATCATGAACTCCAGTTGGGAAAAGAAGACCCTCCCAAATTGCTTGAATCTCTCAAAACCCAACCAATTTGCAGACCCTTGCTTTGTGTTTCTCAGCAACATACCAGCTCAGCTCAGGGGCATCTCTATGTGCTTCCCCCTCAGATGGAATTTCTTCAATTTCAAAGCATTTTCTCCTCCATAGCACTTATTTTTATTCCCCCCCTTCCCTCTCCCATTAAGCCATATTTTTTTTTCATTTCTGCTCTCTGTTGCAACCTCCCACTCCTCCCCTTTTGAAGAATGGTTTCCAGCATCACTGCTGCCTCAAACAGTCCATTCCCTTATAATGATATCACTAATTTCCATGCCCAGGTTGCTCAAAACCTACCACATAAGGATGTTTCCCTGTATTTCCTGTCAGATGTGTCTCCACACTGTCTGTATTGCTACAGAACCTTGAAACAGCTTTTTGCTACGTATCTGCCCCTTCTTTCAGGCTCCATTTATCTTAGCAGCATGGTCTGGGCAGCAAACAAGGCTGTTTGAGGCAGTGCTTTCAACAGTTCAGTTGAATCATTGAATCATTTAGGCTGGACAAGACCTCTAAGATTATCCAGTCCAACCATTAACCCAGCACCGCCAGGTCCACCACTAAACCATGTCACTAAGCACCACATCTTGATGCTTTTTAAATGCCTCCACAGATGGTGACTCTACCAATTTCCTGGGCAGCCTATTCCAGTGCTAAACAACCCTGTCAGTGAAGAATCTTTTTCTATATATCCAATCCAAACCTCCACTGGCACAACTTGAGGCCATTTCCTCTGAACCTGTCACTTGTTGCCTGGGAGAAGAGACTGATCCCCACCTGGCTACACCCTCCTGTCAGGGAGTTGTAGAGAGCAACAAGGTCCCCCCGAGCCTCCTTTTTCCCAGGCTGAGCCCCCCCAGCTCCCTCAGATACTCCTCATCAGACCTGTGCTCCAGACCCTTCCCCAGCAGCAGGTGGTTGGAATAAAACTAATTTCTTTTTCCCTTGCTCCCTGGCTCCCTGTGAAAAGCAGGCTGAGTTTTCAGATTTAAGAGTGCTCTATTTTGAAGCAAATTCTGTTTGTGCATGGTTTTTTACTGTATTTTAATGCAGCCCATTTACAAAACAGCTGCTTACTGTGGGAAGCGATGTTCAAGTCAGTGCCAGTCCAAGTGATAAATGAACTGTGTGAATGCAGCAACTTAACCTCACCAAGGTCTGAGCCACAACATTTATTTAAACCTCTCTTTGTTTTCTGTAAATAATGGATCTGTGTGATCAAATATTTATTAAGAAAGGGTTTGTTTAGAGCTTTTGGATGTCATGCAGCTGGGTGTTCTCATGTGTAAAGGTAAAAATCTCTCAGGCCATTTTTAATCACGACTGAACATCTCTTCATTTTTACCATCCAAAAGGGAGATGCCTCATCCAGGTGGTGGATTAGTCTTTTTTTTTTACTTTGTTCTAAACCATGCCCTGTAGGATTTTTGGGAGATGAAAAATAAAAATAAAAATTATCTATTGTGAGCTCACTTTTTGTTTAAGGACAAACCACTCAAGGAGGAAGTAGAAGGGGGATAAGTGGAGGAAAAGGGAAGGACTTCCAGGGGAAGCCATGGACATGATTTCAGGGATGGAGAACCTCTCCCATGAGGAAAGGCTGAGAGAACTGGGACTGTTCAGCCTGGAGAAGAGAAGGCTCTGGAGTGACCTTATTGCAGCCTTTCAGTACCTGAAGTGGGCACAAGAAATCTGAAGAGGGACTTTTACAAGGGCCTGGAGTAACAGGACAAGGGGGAATGGCTTCAAACTGACAGAGGTCAGGTTTAGATCAGATATTAGGGATAAATTCTTCACTATGAGAGTAGTGTGGCAATTGAAGAGTTTGCCCAGAGAAGCTGGGGATAACCCACCCCTGGAAGTGTTCGAGGCCAGGCTGGATGGGGCTTGGAGCAACCTGGTCCAGTGGAAGGTGTCCCTGCCCATAAGGATTGGAAGTAGATGAGCTTTAAAGTCCCTTCCAACCCAAACCATTCCATGATTCTGTGATTCTGTGATACAATGAAGGGGTTGGGAGCACATTTGGTGCTGAGCTGTGGCCCACCAATCTGCTTTCTCTGGTGAGAACTGGTCAGACTTCACTGACTGTTCACTTTTGTGGACTGCAGCACTGGCACTGTTTCAAGGGAGGATTTAAGAATATCAGTTACATTAATTATGGTGGTCTGCATTTAGCATTTCAAAGGCAAGGATTTTGTATTTGAAAGCTGAACAAGTGTCTGATCTGTGACAATTCAGAGATGGCAGAAGGAAATCACAGACTGTCTTTTGTTTTTCTAATTCATTTGTTTAACAAAATCTCTTCCCAGGGTACAATTTCATTTTGAGGGGTCAGAGATTAAAAAGCAATTTTCCCTTGCTAGCAGCAGCATAAACTAGTGAGTTACATTTTTCTTAATGGCCTCATTTAACAGAGGAGTGAATGGAAATCCTTGGTTACTGAGTGGAAAACTACACTTAGAGTCATCTTTGTGCCCAGTGGCAGCACATATAATAAATTGCACTGCCCAAAGGTCAAAGCTTTGAGAAATTGTATTAAACTTACCTCTTAATGGGCTAGGAATACCAAGAAGTTAGGAATATTGGCACTGGAGATGTATACCTAACTAGAATCCGTGAAAATGAGGGACAGAAGTTAAGTATCCTGGTTTGAGTCCCAGCTGTGTAGCCTGAAGTGGAATTGCACTGGGCTGTGATCTTGTCACATCTCATCAAGTTGCAAAATGGTCGAGCTTGGTCAGGTCAGACTGAAAAACCTCTGCTGAAAATCTGCACATGAGGCAGCAGAGCTTTGCTGTTTAATTTTCCTTCCTGGCACAGGGGCACTGTCCAAGCAGTGCCACCATTCCTCAAGTATTCCATGTAAAGTCACTGAAATGTCAGTAAGTCCAGAGGAGACCACGAAGGTGCTCAGGGGGCTGGAGCAGCACTGCTCTGGAGCCAGGCTGAGAGTGCTGGGGGTGTTCAGCCTGGAGAAGAGAAGGCTCCAGGGAGACCTGAGAGCCCCTTCCAGTGCCTGAAGGAAAGCTGGAAAGGGAATTTTAACAAGGCCATGGAGTGACAGAACTAGGGACAGTGGCTTTAGTCTGACAAATGATTCAATTTAGACTGGATGTAAGGAAGGAATTCTTCTCTAAGAGTGTGGGGAGGCCCTGGCACAGGTTGACCAGAGAAGCTGTGGATGCTCCATCCCTGGAAATGTCCAAGGCCAGGCTGGATGGGGCTCTGAGCAACCTGGGCTGGTGGAAGGTGTCCCTGCCCATGGCAGAGAGTTGGAACAAGATGATCTTGAAGGTCTCCTCCAACCCAAACCATTCTGTGATTCTAAAGGTGCCACATGGGTTTTCAAAGCCACACTGATACAAATGGTTGACCTGAATTCTAATATGGGGTTTTATATTCTAGTTTCCCTGTCTTGAATTTTTACCTGATTTCCTTTAAAAGCATCAGTTTATCAGATGATCTTTTCATAGGGACAGTGTAGGGACCCCCATTCTGTATCGTGTCACCTCATGTGACTTGGTACTTAAAATTTAGGCAGCTAGAACAAGACAAGCTAATCTTCCTTTCACATGCCTCTGGAAGACAGCTCATCCTACTTCTCTTGGATGTTGTACCTCAGTCTGTGTTGTGCCCAGGAGGGGAATATCTTGCTTTCACACTGATAGACAAGTCCCTTCAAAAAAGCACTTAAGTACCAGGCAGCTTGGGTTTGATTTCTTTGCCTAAAAACTAATATTTGGTATCTTTTTGTGCTGAGTAGAGAATCCTGCTGTGTTTCTGGCTTCTGCTGTGGAAGACTGTTGTTCCTCCCAAAATCACATGTCACCTGTGCCAGCTGCATTTAAATGCTGCAGAGACCCTGGGGCACCTCCAGTGGTCACAAGTAGCTGAAAAGTAAATGCTTATTCCCCTGTTGTGCTTTAATAACTATATTGATCATGAAGGGGAAATGAGATGTAAGGAGAAATGAGTTACAGAAAATGCAATTGCTTTTATTTCCATTTTGATAAAGGCTGGAAGCACTTTAATCAAAGGTCTTTTCCATATTTCTAAAAGAAAACCCAGTCCTGGTAGGACACCTTTGTAGCACAGCTCTCAGGTCACAGCCTGGCACCATCAGAAGTGGAGAATGGGAATTGTTAAGTCCAGCTTATGCTTAAGAGGAGAAAAGAGAGTCAATTATAGTCTTGCTAAATCTGACATCAGCAGTGTGCAAAGTGCTTGAAAACATTTTGAAATGTGGAATTGAAAGCAAGGAGATCTGTGCAGGGTAGGGCAATGTGGGATTTCATTTTACTTTGATAGAGTATTTGCATATCTTTGTTTGTGAGGGGAAAGGATTTCCTTAGACAAAGGTGATGAGAAAGACTTGACTTCCTGGTCTTCAGAGAAATATTTGCTGCAATTCTACCACAGAAGGATTGTCCTTATTTAGAAGATTCATGGTTGAAGATGTGCTGCTGGGCCATAGCTTGTTCTTGTGTGGCCAACTCTGAGGTCTCTTCATTTTGTTCTCCATCACACACTGTTCCGAGTTCAGGATCAACAGCTCAACCCTTTGACAATATTCAGTCATTCCTGTATTCCGTACTGGAGGATTAGGGATTAAGGTCTTCTCTGGGATGATCTCAGAAGAGCAGGAAACATTTAAGGGGACCAGGTCCTCTTCATAAAGATCAACTTCCTCATTACTTTTTTTTTTTAAGATGACTCTGGGAAAAAGCAATTTGCATAGTGGGTCAAAAATTCATTATCCTTTTTATATCACAATAAATACTGAATTAGATCCATTTTTAGTGGGTTTGTGTGTATTCCTCGTAACTTGTTTTTTTTTTTTTTTTTATCCAGTGAGCCACAACATATCATTCTTTTTTTTATTTATTTATAGACAACAGTTCTGTCCATTTACGAGAAACAATTCTTGCATCAGTTCTTTTTACTGTAGAAGACATTTTTCTTACATAGACCTGAAACGTATAAAAGCTAAAATAAACTCTGTTTGTATTTATCTTTCTTCTTTAGAGTCTGTCCCAGTGGATATTACCCTTTTCTTAGAGTGTTTTTTTTTGGTTAAGAGTTTAAAGAAAAGGAAATAATCTGTAACTTCAGGCTTTCACTGATGTCAAAGGCACATTCCTCCTTGTCATTAATGGAAGGAGAATAGAGCTTTATCCACTATACAGGTTGTATTTGCTGATTTAATAGGACTGGGGAGAATTCATGAGCATGCAGGTAAGTTTATTTTTTTCTAAGCAGAGAAATCTTAAATTCTACTCACACTCTCCAAGCTTTCCCTGACTGTCTTCCCAGTTGTGTCTTTAAAAGGGGATATTATTATTGAGGAGCATAAGGAGGCAATAATAACTGATTTCAGCCATCACCAATAAAAAATGCCATGATTTTTCCCTAAGTTTCAGTTTCTTTGACCCAAAAGGAATATGAATGCCATGTATTCATACAACTGAATAAACCTTACTGTCTTCTTTCACCCTTTTTACTGGGAAGCACTCAATGCATGTACACCAAAGGCTCAGAAGCCACAAATGAGACCCTCCTGTCTTTAATTCCCACATTTCCAAGGCATTCTGTCACCTTCATCTGTGGGCTGAACCATTGTCTGGAGGTTCCTGTTTCACTCTGCTGCTTTTAGAGGGAGTGTAGGACATCTGGGTTCCATTTCTGAGCTCCTGAATTAGACATTTGAAGTTTATAGATTCATAGAATATCCTGAGCTGGGAGGGACCCACAGGGATCATCCAAGTCCATCTCCTGGCCCTGCACAGGAACACCCCAAGAATCCCATCATGGGCCTGAGAGAATTTTCCAAGTTTCAATGGGATAAGTGTGAACACTAATATTTCAGAGAAAGGTGTCAGAAACCTTCAGGCAGACAGAAGTATAGTACCATGAAGTTCCTTCCAGTTACTTTTATTTCAGATTCAGAGACTCAGGTTTCTCTTTCAGCTCTTCCTCAGTAAGATCCATGGATGTGCAACCAGGGACATAAAACAAAGGCTGTCCACTTCTCCTTACAAATCAACTCAACTTTATCCTTATCTCAAATAATATGTTGCATAAATATATTTTAGCTATTTTTTTTCTCTTAATGAATCAAATTTCTGCTTCAGAATACCCTGTTCTTCTTTGTTACAGCTTCCTTCATGTCCCTATTTTATTCTGTTTTCTGCACCATCTGATTTGAGGGATTGAGGTCTTGATGATACCAAGCAATGTTTCTCCCTGTCCATTTAAGACTTACATAGATCTGAAACTAGTGGAGAAACAATTAAACTTATTTTTCTGGTGACTACTGGCATGGCTTCCTTACATCTTAAGCAAAAGAAACTTTAAGAACTGTTTCTCATTGCCACAGGCAAAGAACATGAACATAAAGTTCGTTAAAGCTCAGCTGATGAATGAGATGGGAGCCATCTCAACTGATTTTGGGTGTATCCAAATTAGGAATTCGTCACTGGGTGTGTGGTGTAAGCACCCTACATGTTCTCCAGGGATCTAGGAAGTGTTGGGATTCCTGTCTGTGGCTACTCAAAGATGACTGTGAGGTCTGTTATGGCCTCAAACACGACCTGTGCTGTATCACTCAGGTCCACATGGATTTATGGGATGTCACAGGGCATCTCATATCCAGGTGTTTGTGTTTGGGTACCTGGATTAGGAGAGATCCCATTGCAGGGCTGTTTATTTTGCTACGTTATTGTTTGAGTCTGAGTTCTTAACTCAGTGAAAGGTTGAGCCTGGGTTGAGACCACATGCTTTAGTTTCCTTAAAAAACAATTCTTTAATTAATTTGACTTTGATGTGGTTTTAATTAATTTAATTATTTAGTGTGGCTTCA